ATTTTATAACCTTTCCTATAAAAGAATTCTTCAGTCTCTGTGGGCATTAGTACTAAAAAGTGCCATTAAAATATGATAGCATTGGAGCTTATTACCCTAAGTGAAATCAGAAAAAGACAAATACCATATGTGTGTCTGACAAAGACAAATACCATATGCTCTCACTTTTGTGTGGCATCTAAAGAACAAAATAAACTTATGAACAAAATAAAATATGGGCATTGATACATGGAGCAGTTGGACATCTGTCAGAGGGGAGGGGTGGTGGAGGGTACTGGATGGAAAAATGTGAGGAGATAAGCCAATGAACCTGTGTGCATAACCTTGAACACAGGGAACACAGTGATCAAGGTCAGAAGGAATGGGGGTGGGGGCTGGGTGAGGTGAATAAAGAGGGGAGAATTGGGGACATCTGTAATAGTGTAAAATTAAAAATATATTAAGAAGAGGGTAGAAACAGGGGCAGAAGGTGGAGAGGGCTAGGGTGGTAGGAAGGCATAGGGGGGAAAGGCAGAAAACTGTATTTGAGCAACAATAAAAAATGTTAAAAAATAGAGACAAATCAGAACTGTAAAAAAAAAGGTAAGAAGAAAATAATTAAAAGGATGAACTATATATATATATACACATATATATATGTATATATATAGTATATATGTATATATATGTATATATATACATATATATGTATATATATGTATATATAGTATATATATGTATATATATATGTATATATATAGTATATATAGAGTACATATATATATATGTATATATATAGTACTTTTATATAAAGTGTTCAAGGAAACAGAAAAAGAACAATGCTTTCCAATATATCTTTGATAATAAAAACTGCTGAATATTAACTGACCATAAAGACATGGGTTTATTTCTGGTTTCTCTATTCTGTTCCATTGACCTATATATCTCCTCTTATGCCAGCACCAGAATGTGTTGATTATAGTGGCCTTTTAATATACTTTGATATCAGGTATTGTGATTTCTTCTACTTAGTTCTTTCTCAAATATGCTGCAGCTAAGTGGGGCCATTTATCATTCCATATAAATTTTTCAAATGTTTGTTCCATGTCTTTGGAATATTCCATTGTATTTTAATGGAAATTGTGTTGAACAAAGGGGGCAAAAGCATAAAAGAAGTATAAAATGGCCTCTTCAACAAATGTTGGGAGATTTGGACAGTTATATGCAAAAAAAATGAAACTTCACCACCAACTTAAAACCATACACAAAAATAAGCTCAAGATAGATAAAACACTGAAATATAAGTTGTAACACCATAAAAGTCCTAGAGGAGAACATAGGAAGGAAAATCTCAGATATTCTATGCAGCAATATTTTCACCAATATGTTCCCTAGAGCAAGGGACATCAAGGAATGAATAAACAAATAGGACTTCATCAAAATAAAAAGCTTCTGCATGGCTAAAGGAAACATCAGCAAAATGAAAAGGGAACCAACCATAGGGGAAAATATATTTCCCATTGATACCTTGGACAAGAGTCTGACCTCCACAATATATAAAGACCTCAAAGGACTCCACTGCAGGAAGACAAACAACCCAGTCTAATAATGAGCAAAGGACTTGAAAAGACACTTATCCAAGAAGGACATACAGAGTGGGCAGACATATATGAAAGGATGCTCAGCATCACTAGCCCTTAGAAAGATGCAAATTGAAACCACAGTGAGATACCACTTCACACCATTCAGAGTGGCCATCATAAACAAATCAACAAACAACGAGTGCTGGCGAGGCTGTGGAGAAAAGGGAACCCTAGTACATTGTTGGTGGAAATTCAGACTGGCACAGCCACTGTGGAAAACAGTATAGAATTTCCTCAAAAAACTAAAAATGAAACTGCCTTCTGACATAACAACTCCACTGCTGGGATTATACACTAAGAATCCCAAAACACCAATTCCAAAGAACCTATGCACCCCAATGTTCATAGCAGCACAATTCACAGCAGTGCTGGAAGCAACCTAAGTGCCCACCAGTAAATGAGTGCATAAAAGAATCTAAAGAGACATTGAAATAAAGCACAAACTGACAATAACCAGAGGGGTGGGCATAGAGGGATAACAGGGGAAAGAAGGGGAAAGGTCATCAAGGAACATGTACAAAGGACCAATGGACAAAGCCAAAGGTGTGTAGGATTGACAGTGGGAGGTGGGTGGGATGGTGAAAGTGGTGGCAGGAAAAGGGAGACAACTGTACTTGAACAACAATAAAAAATAAATACATAAATAAAAACTGTCAAGTATATAACATAAATAAGAACTCATTCAGAACTCTTTAAGAACAATGATTATAAAAGCAACTTAATATAAATGTAATAGATGCACTGAAATTTAAAGAAGGACAAAACAAAATGATTATTGAGGCTTTAATTTAGAAATGCAAGATTGGTTTAATATTTGAATGAAATAAAGATAGTTTATTTCATAAACTTTATACACAGAAAACATTTATCATTCTGAATGGAATAATAATAAAAATGGAACAGCAATCCAATGTAGAAATTATTAGAAAATAGCAATATTATGGAATTGCTTTAATATATGAAAAGTATAAGGAAAATTTTAAAACAAAACTCAACTTTATGATGAAATATTTAAATATTTTTTGTAAAAGAGAGAAGAATCCATATAGAGCTTTTACTCTCCACACTATCCAACATTGGAAATAAAACCCCACTCTGTGGTAATAAGTCAAGGCAATGAAAAAATTGTACTAGGAAAAAAGAAATTAAACAAATGTTTACATAAAGTATTCAAAGGAATATATGTTTGAAATGATAAAACTAATACAACAAAATTAACACATAAACCTCAATTGTATATCTTTTTAAAGTAGCAAAATTTACTAAAGAAAAATTTTAAAGTATTCTATTTATATAATCCTGACTATGAAATACCAATATTGATATTTCTTTAAAACTTCAATGGGAAAATTAAGAATATACAGTAAAGAAATGAAAGAAAACCAAGTACACGGGAAAAGAAAGCATGATTTGACTGGAAGCGTCGATATTCTCAATTGCCTAATCTTTATAAATTGCATGCAGTGATTCCTTTAAAGTTTACATTCAACCCTGGCTGGTGTAGCTCAGTGGATTGAGAGTGGGCTGCGAACCAAATTGTCGCAGGTTTGATTCCCAGTCAGGGTACATGCCTGGGTTGCAGGCCATGACCCCCAGCAACCGCACATTGATGTTTCTCTCTCTCTCTTTATCTCCCTCCCCTCCCTCTCTAAAAAGAAATAAAAATAAAATGTTAAAAAAAAAGTTTACATTCAGTCCTAAACATAACCCCAAGTCTTAAAGCCTTACTGAGGTGTAATTACCAAGCATACAGCTCATGCATGTAGAGTTTGCATATCAGTGATTTTAAGTACATTCACAGAGCCTTGCAGCTATCACCACTCTCAGAATTTGGAAAGTTTGCAGCCCCCTAAAGAAGCAGTGAGCGAACTAATCAGTAGTCATTTCCTATTCCCACATACTCTCAGGCCTCTGCTGGTTTGCTGTTCTTAATATTTCACTTAAACTGACTCACACAACATGTGATCTTCTAGAAAAGTCGAATGTCACAAACATAATGTTGAACAAAATATGACAGACACTGAGAGAAAGTATATCTGTACTTTTGGATGTGTGTATTATTTTCCCGTGATGCTTATGGAATTTTTTTTCATTATTAGAATAATTCATTAGAAGACTTAAGTAATCATAACATTATTTCCATTTCATGAAAAAGACTCACCCAGGAGAATCCAAGTCTTAACACAGAAACCTATGCTTGCAAATATATACTTTTGAAGATTCACAACTCCCTGATGCGAGGCCATATCAGTGTAGCATCACACAGTTTCCGTTACCAGATGACGGTTCTCCGATCCTACAATGGAGAAAATGCACACTTTTGTTCTTATGTTGTATGAAGGAAATCCCTGAAACAACAAGTAGCGTCTTCTATGAGAGCATAATAGAAAATTTTACAAATGAGCAGTGATATTTTCCACGTAATACATTAAGAGTTGTGTTGGGAACCGCCCTGCCTGGTTTCAGAAACTATAACCCCTAGTGACTAAGGCTGAGCAAAAAGACCTTGGGACCACAAGCCACTAAGGAGACAAAGCTTATCCCCCAGGCAGGAGCACCACCCCTGCCCCCTTTCTATTCACCCTGCTTAGCCCCAGGTGGATGACTGGTTAGCCAATGATGGGTAAGAATCCTCAAGGGAGGTATGACCTAAGACAAGCATGATTACAGAGGGACCCTCAGGGAAGGATTAGGGGGGTCTTTAAAAAAAGGGGGTGATGGACCCTCCCCCCTCTGGTTTAACATAGCCTGAGACCTCATTCTGTCTGTGAGAAGTCTCCTAATCTCCTGGCTGCCTTCCTTCTTCCCATGCCAGAATTAAGCCTAAAACAGTGAGTGCCTCAAGCCTGAAACAATGCCTGTGCTGGAAAGGGCAGGTTCCCTGGGGCAATCAGGCCAAGGGAAGAATGCATAAAATCCTATGAAACCTACTTTGTTAATACCCTCAATTTAAATGATAAGGGTCCAAGCATAGAATCAGTTTGTTTTCCCAAAATTTTGTAGCCCTCTAGTTAACTGACACTGACTCAGAACAAGCCCTCAGAGTTCTTTGTATGTTATCTATTGTTTGATCCTTGTGCCTGACAATGATTGAGGAGCTTTACCTATATTCCTGTGGCACTTGAACCCAATAAAAGCCCATTGAGGAAGAGGCTCCTGGTCCTTGGGGGGTGGGGGTCCCTGTGGATGGAGTGCCCTCCCCCACGGAGACAGTTATTAAGAAAATGAAGTAGTCATTCTTAATATTTACATCAACATTTCATTAACTCTGAATATCATGCTCACAATTCAACTTAAATAAAGGTATTAATACAACTCTTCTGAATTGTTCTCTTTTATGTTTTCTTTTTAAATAGCACAAAATAAAAAAAAAACAACTCACTCTAGTGTGGGAGTTGAACCATTTATCAACATCCATGGATGATCACTGCTTCTACGAAAAATTCCAATCCATGACGCAAGTGACAGGGAACTCAGAAATTTCTACCCCAAAATTAAAAAAAAATAATAAATAATCATTCTGAAAGTTTGCATTGTATTTTCAAGATGCATGTAGTGTATTGTGTCACAGGATCCTTCATTTACAGAACAAAATGAGAGTTTGGGATCCTAATTTAATACAAAGATAGTAAGACTTTTATTAAAGATGCATTAAAATCAATTTTCATACAGTCAATTTTCAGCAACATTTATACATTTGATTTAAAATTAACTCCTAAACATTTATGAATCATAGTTTCATTTTTCCTCTTAGGTTAATAAAGAACATTCTGCTATATATATTTTAGTTGTTACCCATGTTGACAAATCTAACACCACAAGGTTTTAAGTAAGTTTCTGAACATTTATATAATGTACTTGATTCCATAACTAAATCAATGTAGTTTTCTATGGCTTTTCAGAGATCTAGTTTTTAAAATATTAAGGCATTGTAAATAATAAAATAAAAGAGAAGATGGTGGCATAGGAAATACAGCTTGCTGCCTCACAAAATCATATGAAAATGACAGCTAAAGTACAGAAACCCATCACTCAGAACCACTGGATGTACTTGAATGGAAGCCTGACAATTATGGAATTAGAAACCATATCCATCCAGACTGGTAAGAAGGGTGGAGATGCTGAATGGACTGATGCCACATCCACATATTGTGGATAAAATTTCAGGAGGGATCTTTCAGGAGCAAGGAGGCCCAGACCCACACCAGACTCCCTTCAGCTTAGGGTCCCAGTGCCAAGGAGAAAAGTGCCATAACTTCTGAATGCAAAAACCAGCAGGAATTGAGTCACAGGAAGAACTTCTGGAGTCCCAAGCAGTTCCTCTTAGAGAACCCACACATGAACCTACACAGACTCACTCCTTCTGAGCTCCAGCACTATGGCAGCAGCTTTAAAGGCACCAGTGGCATATGGGGAGGGACTGGAATGGCTCACATCAAAGCGAAAGCTGGGGGACAGCTTTCTCCAAGACAGATAGGTGAGCAGAGCTAAAGATCTGGGAGGTGGGTGCCACATCTGAGACTCAATTGACCTAGCTAATGTTTGCCCATCCCTACACATCATCTGAGGTTACATCCCAACCAATTTACAGCTGTTAACAGTGGCTTGAATTGCCTCACGCTTCACAACTTCCTAAATCTTTCCAAACAAACAATAGCTGGTATCAGTGAACCCCAGCTCCCTCCTTTTCCTGCCCCATACCACACCTCTTGCAAAGTAGTCACAGGCATTGTACTAGCAGCAGCCAGCCTAGATTACCAGCTTGGCTTCATCTGGGAATCCCAATCCCAGCAGAGTTAGTAGCCATCTCAGATTGTTCTATAGCTCAGTCAGGATGGCCCTGGGCCAAGCAGAGGTGGGGACAGAACTTGGCACGTACCACCCAGGAAACCCCAAGACTTGTGCACTCAGTGGACAGCTACAGATCATGTTGGAGCACCACCACCCTGCCTCTGCATACCTGATCCTCCACAGAGGGCAGAGGTTGGTGTTCAATGGTAACACTAGTCCTTCCAGCTGACTGGCCTGGGTAAATCCCTCCCATTGACTTGCCAAAAGGACCCAAGTCTCAACTGCAAGAGGAGGGTCCACATGAAGGGCACACTCTGAGTACCTAGATTGTTTGATAGGGGAGACAATGCTACTGGACCCTACAGGATACCCACTACACTAGGCCACACTACCAAGATACAGAGTCAAAGAAGCTCTACCTAATGCATAGAAATAAACACAAGGAGGCTGCCAAAAAGAAGAAACAAAGGAAAATGGCCCAGATGAAAGAACAGATAAAAACTGCAGAAAAAGACCTAAACAAAATAAAAATAAGCAATATGTCAGATACAGAATTCAAAACACTGGTTATAAGGATGCTCAAGGAACTTAGTGAGGACTTCAACAACATAAAAAGATCCAGTCAGAAGTAAAGTATACATGATTGAAATAAAGAACAACTTACTGGGGAACAACAGTAGAGTAGAGGAAGCCAATACTCAAATCAGTGATTTGCAACATAAGGAAGCAAAAAACAACCACACAGAATGAGAAAAAATAAAAAAAAATGAGCATAGTATAAGCTGCCTCTGGAACAACATCAAGAGCTCTAACATTCACATCATAGGGATGCCAAAAGGAGAAGAGAAACAGCAAGAAATGGGAGATCTATTTGAAAGAATGATGAAAGAAAACTTCCCTAATTTGGTGAAGAAGACAGACATGCAACTGAGAAAGAACAGAGTCCTAAATAACAAGGATGTAAAGAGACCCACTCTAAGATGAATCATAATTAAAATGCCAAGGTTAAAGATAAAGACACAATCTCAAAAGCAACAAAGAGAAAAGCAGCTAGTTACCCACAGGGGAGTTCCCATAAGATTGTCAGCTTATTTGTCAAAGAAATTTTGCAGGCAAGAAGGGATTGGCAAGAAGTATTCAAAGTCATGAAACTCAGGGTCCTACAGCCAAGATTGCTTTACCCAGCAAAGCTATCATTTAGAACTGAAGGGCAGATGAAGTGCTTCCCAGATAAGAATAAAATAGAGGCGTTCATCATGACCACACCCTTATTATCTGAAGTGTTACAGGGACTTATTTAAGAAGAAGATGAAAAAAAAAAGAAAACATAGAAGATCAAACTGTGAACAAAAATGGGAATAAATATATGTCTATCAACAATTGAATCTGAAAAGCAACAAGAGTAGATAGAGAGTCGAGGTTATAGAGAACATTTTGATGGTTGCTAGATTGGAGGGTGGTGTAGGGGAATGGGAAGAAGTGGGAGAATTAAAATCTACAAAAATGTAGTTACAGAATATACATGGGGATTTAAAGTACACTATAGTGAATGGAATAGTTAGAGAGTTTATAGTTACAACCCATGGATATGAACAATGTTTTGGGGGCTGGCCTGTGACAGACAGGGGGCTGGATGGAGGGAGGCAAAGGGGAGAATATTGGGACAACCGTAATAGCATAATCAATAAAATATAATTAAGCAAAGAAAGGACACTAAATGTAAAAAATTGTTTTGGGGTCCCTGCACCATTCTTTTAGCAGATAAGCCCTGAAGGGATCTTTTTTTGTGTTTGTGGAATCTAATGGTCCAGGTGTCAGACACTCATTTTTCTGAAGACTGCAGTTATAAAGCCTATAACTAATAAAAAACACAACTGAAGGAGAACCCTGAAAGATGGAAAGAAGAAGGAAAATAATTTGGTACACCAGGGTTAGGGAAAAACAGTGTGAGAGGGTATCTTATACTCCCACCCAAATGAAAGTCACTGAGGCCTGATGCTTCCCAGACCCTACCTAACAACAGGAGGTGGTGAAGGAAGCCATCCCCCTCTGCTCTGCAGAGGGAATCCTGCCCAACAACTCCAGGCAGACCTACAAGGTGACCCATCAGGACACCTGCTAACAAATGCAAGCAGAGCAAGTGCCTCTCCTTTCCCTAAGAGAAACCAGGGTGGGTGGGTTGCAGGTGGGACCAGCAAAGGGGATTTTATGACTAAAAGAAATGGACTTAGAAAGGCTCTTCATCCCTGATGGCATGAGACTCCCATCCCAAATGAAAGACATCAGATAGATGAATATTAAAATATTAAATTCACATAAGTCAGCAGTGCAAATTAAATAACAGCGGATAAATGCAATATAGATAAAAGGCAACAATAGCATATGAGAGTGAAAAAAGACAGGAAGAAAAATGTCTACTGTAGGATTTCACTTATATGAGCTTCAAAAACAAGCAGAGACTCTATAATATCAAAGGCAGCCCAGGGGGTAAGTGTGAGGGAGGAGAGGGGAGAGAATGGGTCCTCAGGAGCAGGGCTGTGGAGGACTGCCCACTGCATTTGGTGATCTGGTTTGTAATCACATGGTTCCATTCCTCATGTAACAAATCTTCTGAATTGTGATGTATTTAATGTCCTTCACATAAGGTAAAAGTAGCAAAGTTTATTTTAGAAAGCAAGCATATATAGAAGCACATTTTTCTAGGAAATGCAAATATGCATTACTGGAATACAGTATAACAAAATATTATAAAGTCAAACAATGGAATATCACAGACTTTAAATAGCTACAAATATATATAAAAATATGAATGAATTCTACAAATATAATATTGACTGAAACAAGCCATAAGTGAAGTGTATGAAATGTTTGATATCTCACCCTTTCTTCTTCATTATCTATGTAGACCAGGCTAGAGTTCTTAGAAGCACAGGCCATCAAACTCTCAACCCATGTTTTATTTTCAGTGCTGATGTAATAGCAGTTGTTGGAATATGTAAACCACTCTGGTGGACAATGACCACAAGAGTATGCTGAGGAAAGATTATGAATTATTACCCAACAACTTGAAGTTTAAATGAAAATTAGCTTACATAATTGCACAAGTATAAACACATATTTACATAATGTATCTACATATCCTCACAGGCTTGTATGTATAATGCAAATTATGCTCATACACAGTAAAGTCAGCCACTCACCCCTAATCTATGTAAACACACACACAAAAATAGCCACTCTGTACATGTCCAAGAGTCAGTGAATGAAACCACTTCTTAAGAATAATTAAATTACTTAATTTTCATATTATAACAGTGGGAAGTTTGAGCTGATAAGCAACAATGGGTTTGGAGATTTTAAATGAATATTTCTTTATATAGTTGCATAAAAAACAGTCTTCCATACATATTATTTATGAACAGTTATACCCCATTTTATAAGTCACATTCTCCCCCAAAATTTGTTATCATTTTTGCCTAGCTTAAGACAGAGACAAAAATATGAACTATGCTAATACGAGAACTTTGAAAATTATGTACCTTTCTGGATCTTTGTTATTGGAGAGAAATAGTTCTTCTTCGTTGTGGCAAGAGCTACAAAAATTAAAGTCATTCTTAAAAATTAATCTAAATAAATCAAAGCACTTTGAAATGCTATGTTTTGTTTAGAATAATCTGCAATAGAATTTATTTTACCAAGAAAAGTTAGTAAAGTAATAACCATTCAGGGCAAAATATATTAAACTTCTACAGAAAAAAATCACTATCTCTTAACATTATTTTGTTTAACCAATCTCAAAATAAATTTATATTTCTAAGGTCTTCCAGTCTTCAAAAGCATGTGTTTGAGTTATAAAGTTAGAATATATGAATGCATATAAAATACTCTCCATAATCATTATTAGTCATGAATTTAGAAAATTCAAAGTAAACATTCTATATTTAGTCTAACTGCATAATTTAAATGAGAGTTCTACAATATTATGAAATATTTACAGACATTGATGAATATTATAGTGAAAAGTTCCATATAATCTTCCAAAATTCACTTACATTGATAAAAACTTTTGTTATGTATGTATGTGTATTTATAAAATACTTTCTAAAATCATTCTGATATTTATACATGGAGAAATTCAGAATAACAATTTTTCACTTAGTCTAAAGGTACACTTTAACATGAGAGTTAATTCTATAATATAATGAAGTTTTTAGAGACACTGGAGAGCATAAAATTACGAATTTTTAACTGAACACAATTTGAATACAAAAAGAAAATTAACCTACAGATATGCATAGGTATAAACATTTATCAGCACAATACCTATGCACACTGACAGGCTGATACATATGAAACAAAAAGCAGTCATACACATCTGGGAGGAAAGTTATATCTCTCATCCCCAAGTATTTGTGCCCATATTAAGCAAGCACACATATGATCTCACTTATTACAATGAATCAATAAACCTAATCAACAAAACACACAAGCAAGCAAAACAGAGCCAGAGACATTGAAATAAACAACAAACTGACTGTAACCTTGGGGAAGAGAGGAGGTGGATAATGGGGAAAAGAAGAGGAAGGGTCATGGAAGAACTTGTGTAAAGGATCCAGAGACAAAGACAACAGGGCTATGATTGAGGATGGGGAGTGGGCATGGTTGGGGCAGGGGGAGGGTGTTGGGGGAAAGTGAAGAGTACTGTGCTTGAACAACAATAAAAAATAAATTAATTAATTAAATTAAACATAAAAAACTCACAAATATATCCATTTTCTAATGCTTAGGACATCAATGAATGTAACCACTTTTTTTTTAGAGTAGGAATGTTATTTGTTCATATTTTAGAGCAAGTAGGACATTTAAGCCAATTGGTCACAATTTGGTATGATGATTACTTTATTCATTTATCTTTTATCCTCATATGAGGATATGCTTATTGATTTTAAGGAGAAAAGAAGGGAAAGAGAGTAAACTGTGATGTGAAAGAGAAACACTGATGAGTTGCCTCCCATACATGCCCTCCCATCAAACATGCAAACGAGCTATGAGCCTTGACCAGGAATCAAACCTGCTATATTTTGGTGCACCAAAAAACATTCAAATCAGTTGAGACACTGAGCCTGAGTGGATATGGTAATTTTAAACATGTAATTCTTCACATTGTTGTATAAGAAAAAAGTACTCCCATATAATCATTGGTTATAAATATTTATTGCCATATTTTACAATTTATATTCTCCCACCAGAAATATATTATATTTTTGCCTTCCATAGAACAGAGAAAAATATAAACTATACTATTATCAGAACTTTGAAAATCATAATGTATCTTTTTCCATCCTTGTTACTGTGGACAAATTGCTGCTCTCCAGTATTATAGTACCTAGAAACCATTACATTGATTCTCAAAATAAAAATTAATATTGATAGAATTAAAATATCACAATTTTAGGTTCTTAGTTTGAAGTTTGGTGTATTGTTTAGGAGCAGAGAAATCTGAAATAAACTTGATTGCACCAAAACAATTAATAAAAAAGTAAAGCTTTAAGGGAAGAATATTTCAGAAGATTGTAGGGTCATCACCATTTCATATAATATTGGTTTAAACAATCTCAAGAATTAATTTGTATTTCTCAATAAGTTCTTTTAGATTTTTAAAGCATATATTTAAGTAATGAAATCAAAATATGCAAATAAATATAAAAAGCTTTCTACAATCATTCTCTTATTTATGTACTTGACAAATTCAGAATAACAGTCCACATTTATCTAAATGCTTAATTTAAAATGAGAACTCTATTCCATACTATATTAAAATGTTTAGAGGCACTGAGATTCATTAAAGTGAGAAGTTCTCTTAAAATATTTCAAAAACTTACTTACAGAGAGCCATTCTTACTAAAATGTACATCAAGACAAAGCAGATGACTCCCAGGATCCCAGCAATGAGCTTCTCTGGTGGGGATGGTGAATCTGCAGCAAGAGAAAAACAAATGGAGATGTTGGCTGGACAGTTTTCAGAGAGAACCCAAATGAACAGGGAATCACATAAATACACTTGAACCACCCCCAAATCAAATCTTCCACTGCAATCTTCTCCTCACAATATGCTACTGCCTTGTCAGGAAATATAATCCTCCCTGAGGTGCTGGCCACAGACTACACCTTACAATGATGTCTGAATAAATCACTGCTCAGATTTCATATTAAGACACTCTTCTGCAACTTTAAGCTCTCATCTTCACAAATGAAAAAATATGTCAGCTAACTCCCTACTCTTTCCCCCACATGTCTTCACACCAACTGCACATCCCAGGACAGTTACACTGTGTGTCTGTTCAATGTGTCACCTGGGCAATGGTCCTTGTCATTCCCTTGAAGATCTTCAGAAGCATTTGGAAACTCTATTCCCACAGAGCACATTTGCTGTTTGGTTTGTAAAATGGAACTTTTCATGATCTTGCCTTTCCTTTGCTGTCTCCTGGAGTCCTCAGCCAGATTCAGTTCTGAGTTCTTTTCTCCTTGGAGATCCATCTCTGCAGCTGAGTAACGTCAGGGATGGTGCCTGTGATGACAGTCCTTCAGTGTTCATACGTGATGTGAACACCGACAAGATGCCTAGGAGAGTCAGTGTGGGTGGAGTGTGAGATAAGAAACAGTACTCACTTTGCATTTGACCAAGGTGAAGTCTTCTTCTAATTGACTTAGAGATTTAAATATGTGTTTCTGAGAGAATTATGATTTTAAAATGATATTCTATGTTTGACAATATATTATTGGCTAAATCAATGAAAAGTAATAAGTAAGGAATAAAGTAGTTCAGAGTAATGTCTTTATAAAGTCAGATTCCACTGAAACATTTTAACACTGCTAGAATAACTTTGAAAATTAAAATGTATGAAAAAAAATACAGCATTTTAATGACAATTCCAAATCTACTAATGTTTAAAGATTGAATGTCCTAAATTTGGAGGAATAATAGTGTTAGCATATATGGTAATTAACTGCAATAAATTAATGTAACTTAGTCACAAGCATTAGGTCAAAAGACAGAAGAGGTGTTATCAAATATTTCATTTTGAACAATTGTAGAGTTCTGAGACATCATTTAAATCTTCATGAAATTGTTTATATTTTGAAAATGTTACATGACATATACAGTCACCCAAAACTCAATAATAAAAACAATAGAACATGACAGGATTATTTAACATACTTTACACCAGTAACTTATAATTTATTTAATGGTTAAGGTATGAAAATACAAAAAATGATAAATAAATGTGCTGTAGATCATTAATGGAGGAACCTGTTGCTACAAATGTCTAGAAAAATCTGTCATCTGTCACATTCTATGAAGGTAGCTTTAGTGCGAAGTGAAATGTGATAAATCAGAAAATGTAATTTAATAATTCAGTCACTGGATGATGTAGTCATTAAGATTTGTAATACAGTCTGCCTTTGAAATTTACAAAGTACGACATTTAGTAATTTGCATCTAGCAACCTAATTTGCTAATTAAAGTGGGAATAAAAATATGTGACATAAAATGCATGTATAACACTTAATACTCAGTGTGACATTTACAAGCTTTCCAAAGTTACTTAATTTAATTATTGTAACACATTTGCCATGTTACTCTTTTTATTTATATCAGGCAATGTAACAATACTTGCCACAGGTGCATCTTATGAATGTGGTATCTCTTGTTCCACTGTTTTCTTCAATTTCTAAAATCCTTTGGCTGTTTATAATTAATTTACCATTTTACAGAGACTACTAAGTCCCGATTTTTACTGCAAATCAAACAGCTTTTATTTAACAGAAATGAATTTTTGAAGAATTATGTTTGACCTTCATGATTTGATGAATTCATTTTAAGAATCAATTTTTAGCCCTGGCTGGCATAGCTCAGTGCATTGAGCATGGGCTGCAAATCAGAGTGTCGCAGGTTCGATTCCCAGCCAGGGTACATGCCTGGGTTGCAGGCCATAACCCCCAGCAACCGCACATTGATGTTTCTCTCTCTCTATCTCTCTCCCTTCCCTCTCTAAAAATAAATAAATAAAATCTTAAATTAAAAAAAGAAAATTAGATTAAAAAAAGAATCAATTTTTATGGTTAAAAATATGGAGTAATACACATATATTATACTTGTTAATTACAAAATCGAAAGTTAACTGCTCCTTGTCAGGATGCTTACAGCTTTTCCTTTAAATTATCCTGATTTTCAAACTGAAATATGCATGTGGTTCCTTCTTAGTAATTTTGCACAGGCAAAAATTTGAATTTTTTTCATATTTTACATTTTACCCTAAAGTATACAGAAATGAATACCACTGTTTTCTTTGATTTGATTATATATTAATTGTACTTCGTTTGTATCACATCTAGCATTTGTACTTTCCCATTAAATGAATTGGGTCAGTAGAGAGACAGGAGAGGAGAGACACAGACCTCTGGGAGCCAGAAAGTCGTGCATCCTTCACAGGAGACCTGCTGACTCCCATCTACAAGCAGTGTCTGTGGTCCTCACAGACAGCCCCCTGAACACTGAGAGTGAGGCAAAATCAGAAAAAAAGTATATTTCTCATCACTGTGTTACTTAAAGTTTGAACAGTAAATTCTTACACTTGGGCAATTTTGAAGATGGTTTATCTCATAAAACACCTCCAGTACATAGGAGACTCTCAGCTTGTTGGGTGTCATTTAGTTTGTGCATTCGTAAGTGCCCCTGAGAAGTCACTTGCATATTCCCAAAGATTTCTGGGACAAAAACCTTGTCCACCCTATTCTTAACTTACCTCCACCTTACAATGTACAAACACTGAAATTTTAGGCCTTGTTAAGAGTATCTTAGATGCTGCAATCCTACTCTTGGACAATGTTACTAAATACTGGCATTACTTAAATTTATTTATATGCTCACTGTCTCTTAGTTATAATGGAAAAAGATAAAATCACAATCCCATTAGCAATAGGTACTCAATGACATTTGTCACTAATATTCTGAGGAATAAATGCATTTTCAAATAAGGATAAGTGTCACAAATGTTAATACCCAAGCTTACCTCTTCAATTTCTCTGCCTTCAATTTTTTTAAATTGCTGAATTAAATTTGTTATTTTTATATAAAAAATTTATACTTCCCCTGATGAAAATAAGTGTCTGTGAAGGAGAAAACATTAAACAACATTGTACTATACTAATATGTAAGAGATTGAAATATTAAATTGATACTCATATTATCCATTAATTCATCCTCCAATCATAAGTAGCTATCTGTATTTTAATAGAAATATTTGTTGTAAATGACAAAAGCCAAAATATAACTATCTAGGATGAAAACAAATGTAATTTTTAAAAATTTAACCTATATCAAAATAGAAATGGCAGAAAAATTAGTTTTGAAAACGCAAGTTAAATGACACATGAATCTCAGAAGAAATTAAACATTAAATATGAGTCATCTAGTATGTATCAAATGGAATTATTTTCATCCATTTCATATTGTATCAAGAAAAGTGGAAATGTTTATCTATTATTAGTAATGAGTTATAATTGGAAGTACCATGTGGTTCAGCAATCCCACTTCTGGGTATATATCCAAAGTGACACAATTATTATGAAGAAGTATCTGTATTCCTAGGTTCTTTGAGACATTATTAACCATAATTAAGATATGAAAGCATGTTTAATGCGTGTTTAATGGATGAATGGACTACAGTCACATCCACACTTACACACCCAATGAATTATTTTGAGCCATGATAAAAATAAATTTTTCTCACTGATGACCATGAGTACCCTGAAGTCATTTTCCTAAGTGAAATAATTGAGACAAAGAAAGACTAATGCTGCATATCATTTATGTGTGAAATTTTAAAATAACAAACTGAGAGACTAATGGTTGTCAGGGACTGAGAGTAAGAATACAAGGACAAGCTGGTAAAAGGTACAAACTTTCACTTGGAAGAGGAAGAAGCCTAAGGATCTCATGTATCACATGGTGGCTACAGTTGATAACACTGTATCACATAATTGAAGTTCACCCAGACATGGATCTGCAATGTTCTTACCAAAGGGGAAAAAGGTAACAAATAAAGCAAAGATTGTAAGACATTCGATTGATATGCAACCCTGATGCATATGAGAAGTTCTAAAAGATAATACTACAATTGGCAGTTACAAAATTGTCATGCAGATGTAAAGGATAGGAAATATAGTCAATAATATTCAAATAATCACACAGAGTGCTTGGTGAGGACTGGACTTATTTGGGGATTATCTCTTGAGTTATATAAGGGTCTGACAACTATGCTGTACACCTGAAACTACTTTACAATGATACTGGATGTCAACTGTATTTGAAAAATAAAAATTAAAGAAAAATTGAATTTGAAAAATTATAAAAACATTCTGTAGTAAGGTTTTATCTCACTCTATACGTGCAATTTTTGAAAGCCCTGTGAACAACATCATTACTCATTACCTGTTATATTCTGAAAATAATTGAGGTCAGAAAAACATGGGATGAAAAGTATGGTCTTTAAACCATGCAATTCATTCACACAAAAGAACAGAAAGCCAACACACTTTTCCTAAGGCTATGATATGCTTGAGCATTTTGGTAAAAAAATTAAACATAGCAGTTTTTCTATTTTGGGAAGAGAAGACAAAATTATTTAAAGTTTTAAGATTAATTTTGGGGAAATGCATTATTTAATTTACTTAACAAATAATATGAAGAAATGTATTTATACATTTATAGCATCAAAAAGGTTATTTACATTACAACACTGGAGAGAGAAACCATCATCTTACTGATATCTTTACCCTGTAAGCAATTGGCTTAGCTGTGTCTACTAGTCTAAAATAAGTTATCTTAGAAACAGCCACCCAAAAGAAAATTATGCAGTCTCAGGTATGACATATTTTGCCATTCTTTTTGTATTATTTTTCTCTGCTTTTCACTGTGTGGCTAAATTGTCAAAATCAGTAAATGTTATAGCATACTGAAAACATGGCCTTATACTCAGAAGCAGGCAAAGAATTACCATTTGCTCTGGTCTCTACACTTCTTTTTTAAGATTTTATTCATTTATTTTTACAGAAAAAGGAGGGGAAGGAGAAAGGAAAAAAAAAACAAAGTCTGGTTGCCTCCCACACGCCCCTACTGGGGACCTGGCCCACAGGCTGGCACTCAGTCCACTGAGCCACACCAGCCACTGCATTCTCTCTCCAGTTCTTATGTTATTAGTACAGAAGTATCTTTTAAACAAATCATATCCTTGCCAGGTGCTCAACATTATGAAGGAACTATGGAAAGTGTAGTTGATCATCTTAAGCAGATAATAAAACAGACACATTGTAAACTATACAAATTGTAGCTCTCAGTCTTTGAAAATGAGATTTATTAAACATAGGATGCACTTTCAAATCAATTTAAATTTTGATATTTTGTCTTTTTCATTGTTGTGCAATTACAGTTATTCCAACTTTTCCCCTGGTTCCTCTCCCCTGCCCCACCTACC